AGCCTTGGCACTACTGTCATTTTGGACTGGATAATTATTTTTTGTGGAGTGCAGTCCTGTACATTATAGGATGCCCAGCAGCATCCCTGGCCTCTACTTTCTAGATGCCAGCTGCACCTACCCTCCCTCAACAACCAAAAATGTCTCCAGACGTTGTCAAATGTCCCTGGAGAGGTGGGGGCAAAATCACCCATTATTGAGAACCATTGGTCTAGACCAATACCCTCGTTTGACTAATGAGAAAACTGAAACCCAGTTAAGAGTAAATGATTTGTGCAGGTAGTTAGTGGTGGAGACAAAAAATAAAACCAAGGCTTCTGATCCTAATTCAGTCTCCTTTCTATAACAGCAGAAGATGCCCTAGGGACCTTTCAGACCTAAGTTTTTTTCCTCTCCCAGCCTCTTCTTTGTTGTTGAGAACCTGACTGATGCTGTGTTTGCAGAAGAGGGCTAGCCGGAATCCTGAGCTCAGCCTCAGCACTGGCGTGAAACCCTCGCATGCCTTTTGTGAACATGGCAGCAAGGAGTCACTCATAAAAAGCAGGATTGATTTAAGTTGTTGAGAAATTATTTGGACAAGTAGTTATTGTTTCTCAAGTGACTTTGATCATTCTTAGCCAAAATCCCTTTATAGCTGCTACAGCTTATGCCAACCAACAGTGTCAAACACCAGAAAAGGCCAACATTCATATGTTTATGAATGCAGTGCAACTCTCCATCTTCGCATTTCTCTGGAGCACCTTTTGCAAATCTGTGGTCAGCATCATCCAAAACTGGTTCTTATAACACTGAACCTGCCTCTTTGACTACAATGATCTGAAGGTGGTCTCCATCCTAACCTTTGAAATCTAGTAAGCTAGACTCATGGCTGCCTGGTCTGTTGGTTAAGATTCGGTGCTCTCACTGCCTCAGCTTGGAGTTCGTCTCCCAGTCAGGGAACCATACCACCCATTTGTAGGTTGTCATACTGTGGTGGCTGCATGTTGCTGTGATGCTGAAAGCTATGCCACCAGTATTTCAAATACCAGCAGGGTCACCCATGGTGGACAGATTTCAGTGGAGCTTCTAGACTCAGACAGACTAGGAAGAAGGACCTGGCCACCCACTTCTGAAAAAATTGGCCATGAAAACCCTATGAATAACAGTGGAGCATTGTCTGATATAGTGCCAGAAGGTGAGAGGATGGTGCAAAAAAAACCAGACTTGATAGCACTAATGACAAGGACTCATGGCACTGTAGTCTCCCAAGCATAACTAAAAGAGAAAAAAAGACTACAGAAGAAGCACTGGAGAGCATTGTCTTCAATCCTCCTTGTATCATTTAGGCTATCCTATTCCTACATAACAATGAAAGAGGATAGAATGCCTACTTGGGTTCTTCATTTTTTCAGTGTGAAGAAAAGGCCTCTGAATTTTTCCCATTGTGGTGAAATTATTTTCAGTGTGATACAAACTCCTAGGAGTAAGAAAGAAGAAATTGGATCAAATATTTTTAAGAAAAGAGAACCAAAATATATATTCATTCATTCATGCAGTAAATATGACTACAGGCCTACTATTTGTCAGGCATTGTTCTAGGCATCAGGATATAATAGTGAATAATGTTCCTGCCTTCATGGAGCTTACATTCTAGTGTGAAGTGCCAAACAGTGAATAAATAATACATCAGATAGTGGAAGTGCTGTGCGGGAGAGTATATCAGGGTGAGCAATAGAGAGTGAGGGAGGAGTGCTGTTTTAGGTGGAAAGATCAATAGGGGCATAAAGATGAATGACAATGTGAATATTAACTCCACTCCAGTCTAGTATTTGGTTGGCCCCACAGAATCTCAGTTGAGAGTGACCACTTATGCCATCCTTGTGTAATGAAGGCAGGTGCTTGACCAAATCCCACCACCACAAATGATCATCAGGCCTTTATTTAAATTGATACCATTAGTGTTCAGATTACTGTCTTTTTTTTTTTTTTTTGCTAAGGAAGATTCTCCCTGAGCTAATATATGTTGCCAGTCTTCCTCTACTTGGTATGTGGGTCGCCGCCACAGCATGGCTAACAAGTGGTATAGGTCCATGCCTGGGATCCGAACCCATGAACCCAGGCCGCCAAAGCAGAGCATGCCAACCTTAACCACTAGACCATGGGGCCAGCCCCCAGGTACCTATCTTTTTTAGGTGGTCCATTCTATTTTTCTGTGCTCTAAGTTGAGGTTGTTATCTTATTAAGCAAAAATCTGCCTCCTGCAACTCCCATACAACTCATATGCCTAAAATATGGCACCTCAACTTAACAAAATACTTCTTTCTCTCGTGGTACTCCACGGTAAGGTATTGACTCCTAACTCCAATCCAGACACCAACTAAAAGCTCTTCAGGAAGCTAGATAAAGGAGGCAGTATTTTCATTTTATCCCATGACACTAAATTTTAATTTCTAGTCACATATTAGTCAACCTAGAATTTAAGTTAGCTGACAGAACATAAATAAGAAGTTAAAGAGCGAAACATTTCCCACCTTTGTTTCCACCCAATGTTCACATGAGAATTTTGCTTTGCAAGTGTCCAGTGGGCTGCAGCAAGAGGAGACAGCAGGAATGATGCCTTTAATTCAGCGGCAGTTGGGGAGGCTGCCATCCTCAAGCTCAAGAGTAGAAAGAATTATGGATATTCAGTTCCGCATACTCCAGAGTATTCACGGGGCACAGAAGCTAAGAGGGATGGGGATGGAGCTGCCTCCAATTAGAAAACGGCTTCTGACCACCCCCTGCGAGATACAGGCTGAAACAGGGGCCACTCCTTGGTGGAAGAGGAATCGTCCCAGTTGCAACTTTTATTGGAACCATAGATCTCAGTTAAGGTGTGCAACCTGAGCCACCCCGTGGGGTCCTTTAACACAGCGTCTCCATCTGAGCATTGTCTCCTCTCCCTCCTAGTCTTTTGCAACCTGGGATGACCCAGGGACCTGGGCAAAAAATAGAAATGTAGGGCCAGTCCAGTGTCGTAGGGGTTAAGTTCGCAGGCTCTGCTTTGGTGGCCCGGGATTCGTTGGTTTGGATCCTGGGCACTGACCTGCACACCGCTCATCAAGCCATGCTACGGCGGTGTCCCGCATACAAAGTAGAGGAAGGTCGGCACAGATGTTAGCTCAGGGACAGTCTTCCTCAAGCAAAAAGGGGAAGATTGGCAACGGATGTTAGCGCAGGGCTAATCTTCCTCACCAAATAGAAAAAAAAAAAGTGCAAAGCAACCTTCCCAAAAATGCTGGATAGAGGAGCAACAACTAGCAGCAAGATCCTCAGAGATCCCCAGGCTAATACCAAGGAATTTCTTGAGTGAATTTATATTGCCAGATAGAGTTGGATGTAACTTTATCTATGTTTGTAAACTTTATTTTATATATATATATATAATATATATACAGTCTTAAATAAAAGTATATAAGATTGTGTAAGATTTCCATTTATTTCCTGATGCTATGGCTTAGAAAACTGCATTCATGGTGAGGGGGATAATATTTTAATATATAACTTATTCCCAGATGCATAGGTCTAATTTACCTGAGCCCCTATAAAAAATAATCTTAGCATGTACTTTAAGAAAACAAAAAAAATCTGAAAATACTACTGTTGTAACAATATATTTAATTCAAAGAATGCCAAATACGTGTATGTACCTGGAATCTAAGTACAGGGAAATACTGTTGGGTTTTAACCTGACGGAACAAGGGTTAACCATGTAGTGGAAATTTCTTTATCTCCTGTTAAATAAACCTCATGCAATAATGAATATATCTGAGAACTTGGATTAGAGGCAGAGGGAGTTAGTGTACAGAATTTTCTCTATGAACCTAAAATCATAGGATGCCTGAAGCCATAAAAGCTGAAGAATTATTGTAATCGTGGGAGATGACCTGGGTTAAAGACAATGGTTGGGAGAGGAAAGTGTGGGGTGGAGCTGGAGACAGAGGGCACCGACCACCCGTCCAGAGTGCAGAGCTAGGCTCCTCTGCCCCTCCTTGTCCACCCCCTCTGCCATCCCTTTATTTTCTGTGAGCCCCTCATCCCCACGCTTTTCCTTCATCTTAAGATGGGATTTCCTGAGCCTCAAATTTCTGCTGTTTCAAGCCGTCTAGCACCTGGGATGGTAGCATCCAGCCTGTGTGCTGGTAATTGAAGAAAAGGGGCAAGTGAAGGAGGAAGGAAGAATGTTGGGAAAGACTAGCTGACTGACGGAGGTGGTGAATGGAGTTCTGGGTCATCACCGGGCGGAGGGACAGGGAACCTTCGGCATTGGGAGGTTCAATCTAGAGCCTTTCTCTTTCAGTTCTTATCTGTGAGTTTTCTCAGAAGGCAGAGGCTTATAAAATTGTTCAGCTTTGTTAAGAAAGATTAACAGACAATTTTCCAAACTACTATTTATGTTGGTACTACACAACATAATAAATCACGTGGATCCTTAAATACTGTCAGGTGGCCTTTGCTGGAGTCTGCTCTTGCAGGACGTCTACTTATGATTGCTCAAACTTACACCATCAGAGGAAATTCTGGTCTAGGACTCTGACCTCAACAGTAATTTCCTTGGCTTTAGTAGAAATTATGGCAACACAATATTCCAGAAAATTACCTACTTGGCAAACACAGAAGATTCCGTGTTTTCCCATTTCTGGGTTTTGAATCAACTAAAGAGCTCTGCCAGGAGCCCAGGGTTCAAGGCCACTCTCTGTTACTAACCAGCTGCTTAATCTCGGACAGTCACTTCACCCCCCTGGGCCTCACTGTCACCATCTGTAAAACGATTTCTGTCACAAATGTCTATTATTCTAAATATTTCTTAGAGTAAATGAAAACCAACGTTCTGAGTTGAGTATTACAATTCATTAATAGTGTATGAGGGTATTTGTAAAATACCATATGTTCTAGATCTGCCCATCCTGGCGTCCTGTTTCTGTAATAAACATGAAAGTGTGAGCCACTCAGCTAAATAAAAGTATATTTTCTCATTGCAGATAAATAAGATTTGCTAGTCCTTGAATGAAGTGCTTGGGAAGTCTTTAAATGCCACAGTCAACCGCCATTTCAAAGAAAAGAAAATAGATGGTTTTGGAAAGTTCATGCTGTTTCTTCATTGAATTTTAGGTGAGTGTGTCTGAGACAAAGAATTTAAGATGGACATTGAACTATTTCCCCTTAAAATGCCTTTCTTCTTTACATGAAAAGAGAATGGGGTTAAATATTATCAACATTGTGTACTTTTAGTGAGGTGCCAAACAGTGAAAGACTTAGTTTCTGTGCCTTTTGTTTATTTATTTATTTATTTATTTTTATCATCAGAAACCATCTGAACTATGAGGTGTGAGATCTAGAAATGGCCCTGACATCTCTTCCTGGCTTCTATTAAGCAAATGCTGTAATACTTCATTCTATTCTAAAAGTCATCTAATTTTTTAAACATATTAAAGTATTTAATATCAGAGTAATACGCCAAAAATGAGACAAAACCATGTTTTAATGGCATAAACTAGAGAAATATTTGATGGTGGTAATGGCAGTTTAATCATTAACAAGTCTGTGTGTGAGATAAGGATAACATTTCAGAGGCTGCCCATTGGGAGATTTTATATTGCTTAAATTAAAGTAGGGCATGGTTTAGGTTAGGTGTGGTTTTTAAACTGCTGTATACGATTAAGCACACACACGTGCTCACACACATTAACTTCTGTTTTGCCTGGCCACAAAATGGATAGATAAATATTTTTTACATCATCATACTTCATTACCCTTCCATCCTACAAAAGACATGAACCTATAAATTGATGCTTTAGAATTAGTCTGCAATATGCCATTGTCCTTTCTCAGAATGGAGAGGAATGGAGAAATTGAGTGGGTGGTCTTGAGGAAATAGGGTGGCTTTCCCCATCCTCCTGAGTCCAGTTTTCAAAGCGTGGTTTTATTATCCACTTTGAAGAATGGTAATTTCTGGAACATCAGAATATACCTCTGTTCACAATTCTGAATGAAACAATACAACAACAGAACATTGACCACTGTCTAAATCAAATTCAAAAGGCAGCGATGCTTCTATTGTACTTCTAATTGACTCCAAAGTGAAGGTGGATAATTCTCATAATCTTAAGAGTGTGTAAATTTGGTTTACTGAAATCATGTGTGGAACTAAAATGGCAATTTCATTTATCTACAAGATGTTTGTTGAGTTCAGTTCCCAGGAGCTAAACTTAGTGCCCTTTAAAAATATCAGTAAATCAATTTGCCTAGTGTAGCAGTTACTCTGGAGGAGAAAATGAAAACGGAAAACTTACTTAACTCTCTGTTTTCCGATTGGGCCGGTCTGTGCCTGTTTTTACCTTCGAGTCCGTTCCTTGCCCTGCTGCTAGTGTCCTGGTTCCATGGGAGTTGACCACTATGGGCTGGGTTTTCCAGCCTCAGTTGCCTCCAGCTTCCCCCGGTGACCTTGAACTCTGAGCTGCAGTAATATCACCTCTCCCCCTTGTCCCTTGAGACTTGTGGGTGTTAGTGCCTTTGGTTTCCTGCTGGGGCTAATCTCCCTATTGATTCACTATCCCCAGTTTCGCTCCCAATTCTTCCATTATCTGTGTAACCATTTCCCTGGATTAAATTCCATCTGCTTTAAATATTTAGCTTGTTTTCTCTTTTGTTGGTTAGATCTTAACTGACCAATCAGTACTTCATTAATTTCTCCCAAAATTATTGGAGGAAAAGTAAACAGGGATTACTTGCTTCTCCCAAGGAAAATAAGTGATTCTCAGAAAATAAATTTAAAGTTAAATACAAAGTTTGGATTTTTACACGGAAAAAACTTTACCTTAATATATTTAAAGCCATATTCTAAGCTATACAACGTTGTAGTGTTAATTTATTGCTGTTAACAAAATCATTGTCAAAATTCCCATCTTGCATGTTAAATTAATGGGAAGATTTTTTAATTCTCAGCTGCATAGTAAATATGATTTTTACTTTTTTAATATTCACTTTTCACAAACTTCTGTGTGTACAGTATAAGAACTTCTTCTTAGGGCATCAGTTTCATTCCCGCATTCACATTTAAATCTAGAGTTTCAGATCTATTTTATTATGGATCTGACCTCTCAGTAATGGTTGTGTGCTACTTGAAGATGCCTTATGATCTGAACACATTACATTTCCTTTAATGTATATACTGAATATATTGGAAGGCAAAGTGATCAGGATGCCAGTGTCTGTCTTTTTGGACAGGTAAACTATTTACCACTGTCCCAACAATCTCACCCACTCTTTGTTGGTATTAAAGTAGCTTTTAATTTAATGATTTTGGCACTAGCTTGGTTATTTTAAATGCAAGTGCTTTGCTATTTTCACTTCCTTCTCATGTATTTTTGTAGACATTTTCCTTTTCAGTCTTTTCTCAGAAGTCGTCGTGACTGCTCATCTGTCCATTTTAATGTATTGTGGGCACACTCAAAAGGACATGGTGTTCCTCCTACCAACAATTTTCATCTGTTCAACCAATGTTAATGTTAAACCTGCAGTGCCTAATTGAGAATCCTTTCAGACAATGTGAAAATGCCATCATGAGCAGAAATCCTTGGAGTCCTTCATAACCTAAAATTCAGAGACATAGGGATGTGCTTTATGGCGTGGGTTAAGATGCAGTGAATAACTGATGTTCTCAAAACACATCTTCCTTAGTTTGTCACAGCACTGAAAATTCTAATCATTAGCATTTCTCTGCAGCTTATGGAAATGAAGCTTTATAAAGTCATATTAAAAAAAAACTCTTGGGAAGAGAAACACTTCCATTAATAATACATACTACATCACATGTTAAGTCTAATGATTAGGAAAGAAGAGACTCCTGAGGCAGTGGTGCACACACTCAGCTTCTGAGGGTTTGGTACACACAAGTAGGAGGAGACTAATGAAATAATCTCATTAACTTCACAATGTTGCCTGGTGGGTCAAGGGGAACTGTCATAAAAGATAACTCAGGCCAAACAGACCCTAATGTCATATTGGAGGAGACGGTAGGAGGAGTGGAGGTATCAGTCCTTACACTAACGAGCAACGTTGTGAATGGAGATTTTAAATCACTGGTGCCCAAATAGTTCAGAAAAGTGCTTTAGCCAAGACGTCATCAGTAGTACTTCTGTTGAACCACAGAGTATGATGTTGGAAAAATCGACAGTGTTTAAAGGCAGAAATCATCTGTTATCCATCTTTGTATCCCTGGAAATTGGCACAGTGTTTGGCACACCGCAGATAATTTCTAAATAAATGACTGGTGGATGAAGACTAAGGCACAGAGCAGTGCTGGTGAATGCTTACTGAGTTCCTGCTTTATACCAAACACTGTTCTGTACACATATATACTTCATTTCATGCTTAAACAGCTCTGTGACATAGATAATATTATTATTTCCCTTTTTAAAAATGAGTTAACTATGGGGGCCAGCCCAGTGGCATAGTGGTTAAGTTCATGTGCTCTCCTTTGGCAGCCGGGGGTTCACAGGTTCGGATCCTGGGAGCAGACCTATACCACTCATCAAGCCATGCTGTGGTGGCATCCCACATACAACAGACAAAATAGAGAAAGATTGCCACAGATGTTAGATCAGGGACAATCTTCCTTACCAAAAAAAAAAAGATGAGGAAACTCGGGCCCAGAAAGGTTAAATAACGTACCTGAGGTTAAGTAATTTGGTGGGGAAATTCAAATCCAGACAGTCTGGCTTCAGAGCCATCTGAACACTTAATCATTATGCTCCATCGTCTCTCATGTATTATAGTCATCAAGTAACTTTAAAACACAGAAGCAACCCTGTTTATTATTTAAAAACTTATGTCATTCCAGAATACATCTGTATGGAGACATCTTGCCCAAATCTTGAACAGCCTCACTTTGAACACAAATTCCCTTTTTTCAATGTTCCTACCCTCCTTTCCTTTTAAAACATGACTGCCTAAATCAACTTCCTAATTTGTTCAGATCTCATCATTTCCATTCTTTAATAGTTCATTCTTAAATTAATATTTTAAAAATCCTATTGCTCCTTTCATGCCTTTGCTTAATTTAAGAACATATACTTTTGAGCAGCAAGTCACTTAACCTCTCTGAGCCTCAGATTCCCCACCTAAAAAGATATGTCTAGTGGCCAGCCTGGTGGCATAGTGGTTAAGTTCACACAGTCCACTTCAGCGGCACGGGGTTTGCAGTTTCAGATCCAAGGCAGGGACCTACACACCGTTCATCAAGCCATGCTGTGGCAGCGTCCCACATACAAAATAGAGGAAGATTTCCAGAGATGTTAACTCAGGGACAGTCTTCCTCAAGCAAAAAGAGGAAGATTGGCAACAGATGTTAGCTCAGGGACAATCTTCCTTACCAAAAAAAAAAAAAAAACAAACCAAAGATATGTCTGGTTTGTCATGAGAACTAGAAAATAATATCCATAAAACAACAAAGTACAGTTCCTGGTACACAGTAGGCACCCCAAAACAATAGCCATCATGATCTAATTACCCTCATGCACTTCAATCTCAAAGCCAGTGTTGGCTGCCCCATCAACTGCAGAACAAAATCTGTGTTCTGTATTCCTTAGCCTGTCATAGTACGGGCACAACAGACCTCTTGAGCCTACCTTTGCTCCTCATCGGCTGACCTTTGCTAACGTAGGAATGATCTCCTTCTCTAAGCCATGTTCTTTGTGCCTTTACTTTAGCTCATGCTGGTTCTTCTGCCTACACTCTCCTCACATCCACACCCCCTCACCCAATCTCCTAGTCATCTTTCAAGCTCCATCGCAGCTATTATTGTTGCAGCTTCAGTGAAGTCATTGATGAACTCCTCCTGGCTCAACAGTTACCAATCCAGCCTCTGAATTCACATAGCCTTTTGGGCCATTTCTAGGAGATCAGCTCCTGTTGTAGACAACAGAAAAGAATGCAATCTCATTCAGTCACTCACAGCCTCATGTTGTGATTTCTCATGTTATCTGTCCATCTTTTTTTTTGTCTTTGAATCTCCTGTACCGAGCTCAGAGTAGTCTCATTTTTTGGTTTTGAATGAAGTTGGAGGGTCATATTTTGAGACATGCTTGAGTGCTTCCAGTGGAAGATTGTAA